GACGGGTGACAACAGCCCCCTAAGACCCCATGTGTGCCCGCTCCAGGCGCAGTCCCAGTTTTGCAGCGAGTGCAATGCTCCAGGGCAGGTTGGAGAGCCTTGGTTCCACCCCGGCACACGGAGCAGGGTCCAAGGGGACAAGATGAAGGAGGGCTGGTGTTTCACACCACATCTGCTCCTCTCAGGGTTGTTGCAGTGTTTATTCTATAGGATGAAGCCAAGGAGCACCACAGAGAGCGGTATCATGAGACATGGCCCTTTTTCTTTGGGCTGAAAGGGCCACTGGAGCTGTCGAGGGGAGCCCCGAGCCAGCCGCCGTGATGGACCCCCCCCGACACAGAGGCATGGGGCCACGCACGCTCTCCAGCCACCGACTGCAGGCGTGAGCAAAGCCTCAGGCATGTGCAAAGCCACACGTGTGCACAGGCACCGGCATGCCAGCTCCCAGGCACAGGCTCTGCAGGCGCAGGTGTCCTCGTGCGCAGGGCGATGTCCCTGCGCGCGGGTGGACACACACAGCCACATCCATGGCCCCGACCACGCACAGCGAAACACAGGCACGTGTGCACTCGCTCTCTCTCTCCCTCTCTGGTGCCAGACATTGAAAGGAAAAAATTTTGACTACCTCAAAGGTCCCCCTGTGCAGTGCCTTTTTTTTTTCCTTTCCTTTTCTTAATGTGTTTTGGAAACAGGCCTGTTTCATTTACTCCAAGTCTGTATGTTCCCCAGGTTAGAAAACAAACAAAAAAAGGGCATAAACCAGCCAAAAAAGGCACCCTCCTGCCAAGCCACGCCACTTCTCGGCAAATGCCCCTCGTCTGCTCAGATGAGCTGCAAATTTGAAGAGGAGGAAGAGAAAGAGCCCGTTGCTGCCCTGGGCTTGGCCGTTGGTACCGGGGCTGGCAGCAATACTGTGAAATTTGATTTTTGACGCACCCAGCGGCACCGTGCCCCTGGGAGAAGTGCCGGCAGTGCAGGGCAGAGCCTTGAGGGCATTTTCGCTGCCCGCTGGTCTTAGGCAGCACACAACACTCCTTTGCTTTCCTGTCCCCTCCCTCCTTCCAACGGGAACGAGTTCAGAAAGTTTCCAAATTGACACCTCCGTAATTTATGTCAGGTACAGTACATTAGGCTGTATATTTATCCTATATGCAGGGAACAGCACTTGCTCTCCGTAGCAATGCGTACGGCGAGCCAGGGCTGCGTGCAGAAATCTCTCAGTGTTGCTCTTCACCTGGTGGGACCTGTACAGAGAAACCTTGTAGATTTGGTGAATATTATAGTTTCTAAATAAATGTTAAAAGAAGAAGGAGAAGAAAAACCCAAGCTCTCACCTCATGTCATTACTGGTGGGTTTCTGCTGGCCAAGACAGCCTGGCTAGTTGGGAATGAAACCTGGTAATGGGCTACAGTGGCAAAACCACTGCTTGGAGCAGGCATTTGGGGGCTGTGGCTGCCCTGCTCCAGCTTGGCACGGCTTCCTTGCAGAGCCTGGCGTGGTGTTTAACAAGGACCAGTGAGTGGATATTTTCTCTCTTCCACGCACTCCTTCAGCTGCATTTCAAACCCAGCTAACCAGATCATCCTGGCGCCCTGCAGCAAGGAGTTCCTCATCTTGACTTCTGTGGGAAGAGCCACTTTGACAGGCTTAGAAACTCACCTGTTTTGTCAAACACACAAAACTGTCCTCCTCACGCTGAAGGAGCTTGTCACCTCACTGGCCCCATCACCCTCTCCATAGCAGGACCATGCTCACTGCCCTTTTTCCCCCCAACCAAAGCACCACCACAGAGTGCCACATCCCCTGGGCCATAGGGCAATGGGATGCACACACCATGGGTCAGCAGTGACTGCACAGCAGAGGAAGCCGCATCCGCAGGGACAAACCCGCATCAGCTTTGAACCTGGATAGGGTGAAGAGGAGGAAACCATGCAGGAGCCCACGGGTCTCACCTTGGTGTTTGGGCACTGGGGGCTCGGTTTCCAGGGCTGGCACCTGGCTCGGTCGCTTAACATGGTGATGGGGAGCGGAGAGGCCGGCAATGGG